CCTCCTCTTGTGCATCTCCCCAAGTCCACTCAGTCGTCTTCCGCAGCAAACTAGTCAGCGGCGCCATCTGTGTCCCAAACTCCGGCACAAATCGTCGATAGTAGCCAGTCAATGCCACGAATCTCCTCACCTGCGCTTCGTCTTGTGGTCGGGGGAACTCTACAATCGCTTTAATCAGCCGGTTCGTCGGCTGGATCCCTTCTGTCGTTAGGTCATGCCCTAAATACTCCATCCGCGTCGCCGCAAAGGAACACTTGGACGCTTTCAAACTCAGGCCAGCTTCTGCCAATCGCTCCAATACAACTGCCAATTCGACCACATGTTGAGCCACAGTCCTTTTCGTAAAAATGATCACGTCGTCCAAGTAGACCAGGCAACAGACCCATGTAAGACCTCGTAGCACACAGTCCATCAGTCGTTGGAATGTACTCGGTGCGTTGCAGAGTCCAAAAGGCATGCACTTGAATTGGAAGAGTCCACGCCTCGTTGTGAACGCTGTCTTCTGCCTGTCTTCCGGTGCCACCGCCAGTTGCCAGTAGCCGGCGTGCAAATCAAGACTCGTGAATCGCCTTGACCCGTGCAGCGCTTCTAACGTCTCATCCACTCTCGGCAGTGGGTAGACATCCTTCGTTGTCACTGCATTCAGAGCTCTGTAGTCAATACAGAAGCGCACGCTGCCGTCCTTTTTCTTTACAATCACCACGGGGAAACCCCACGCGCCTTCTCCCTTATCGATGACGTCTTGCTCCATCATCGTGTCAACCTCATTGTCTATCAGCTCGTACTCCGACACTGCATGCCTTCTTCGTCCTAGCATGATCGGCGCCGTGTCTCCAGTGTTTATGTGATGCTGCACATTTGTCTTTGCAAGTGGCGGGCATCCCTTCTTCTTCTCGCCTATCCCTCGATAACGTCGTAACAACGCCACCACAAGCTCACGATCCGACGGCTCCATGTCTCCGATGTCCAACTTATCTTCGTCCGTCAATGGCAGTGCTTCTTCCGTGCTCAGTGTCTTCACCCACTCTGCCACTCGTGTTTGCTCTAGATCGCCATTCAGCGACAGGATCTTCATCACTTCTTCCGTCGGAACCCAGGTGCCTAAGGCTTCACGGGCCGGCATCTTCTCGCGTCTGCCTTCCAGATTCATCACTGCTATGCGTACTGTCCCGTTGCGCACTGTGTCCAGTGTCGGCGCCATCAGCAAGTGCCGCTTACTGCTTGGCTTGGGAACAAACACGCCCGTCGTCCCATCCTCGGCGTCCACAGTGACGCGCACTACACTCTGCGTATTCGTCGTGAGCTTTACCGTCTTGGCCAGCCGTACCATCGCGCTGCGCCCGGCTCCTTCCAATTGCAATGAGCTCACTCCGTGACACGTGAAGGGTAATATGACCTTCGTGCCGTCCGCCTCTCGGTACTTCAACTCTCGCGTCGAGAAGTCCATTTTCACCTGCCGCTCAACCATCCAGTCTTCTCCTACCAGGAACTCGTCGCCCTGTCCGTCCACGACCAGCGCATCGATCGTAACTCTCTGCTGGTACTGCGTCGTGCCCAGAAACCTCCATACTCCCAGTACACGTGTTCGACCTCCGCCAAACCCTTCAACCACATCCACTGGAGCGTCGCGCGTAATGCACCGACCGTAGCGCCGTAAATCGACGCCTGCAACGCTGAACTGTGCGCAGCTGTCTAGTCGCACTTCCTGTGTGTGTGCTCGCGTAAACGCTAGCAATGCCGTCGGCAGACAACTTGTACTTCCTGCTCCTGCAGCTCTTAACTGAGCCACTCGTAGCTCTCGCCCATCCTCGCCCGCCGCGATCTCCACATCGCCGTAGTTGCCGCTCTTTTCGTATACGTACTTCTTCTTCGGCTTGCACTTCTCATCCATCAGCTTCATCAACTTGGTCGCCTCGATCCGGCGTTGCTTCTCCTGTTGTCGGTAACGCTGGAGTCGTCGCACCCGCTTTGCTCTTCGATACGCCTTCGCCTCTTTGACTGCTTGCTTCCTGGCGGCCCGCATATCCGCAAGTGAGCCCTCCTCTTTTAGTCCACAGGGCATTTCTCCATGTACCGCTGGACGCACGCCAACCATTCGTCGTCTTCCAGTTCTGCTGCCGTTTCGTCACTTCCGGGCGATTCGATTACCGGTCCTGACCTCTTGGTGCGGCTCCTCTTCTTCCTTGGCGTTGGCGCGTCGACTGCTCTTCCAGCGGCCACCGCTACTTGAAGTGCCCGTACGTGATCACCGCGCCGTACGTGGTCACCGCGCCGTACGCTCCCATCTGCTTCTGCCAATACACGCAACGCTTTCCTCACAATCACCCGCAGCACCTTGGCTCGCTCTTCGCGCCGTTCCCGTAGTTTGCTCACCAGAATGCCGTGCACTGCCGCTAAGTTCACGCTCGCGCGTCGCTGTCGCCTTCGTTCGGATACAGTTCGGCCACCGCTAAGTGACAACTTCGCCCGGAGCTTCTGCTTCTTCGTACGCACCTTCTTGGCCGGCATGAACTCGTCATCGTCCACCGGGCTCATCATCACCGGCATGCACACCTCGTTCGCTCGCTTCCGAGACTTCGTCTCCGTCTTCACTGCGTCCAACGCCTCCTTCTGCTCGCCACCAGTCGCCACACCTGCTGCGCCGCGCTGGCCATCCGTTCCTCCACTCTTCCCCTGGGTTGCAGTACCACCGCTTCTCACGTCGGTACGCTTCCCCTGGGTCAGAGCACTTCTCCTCCCGGCCGCTGCTCGTAAGACCCTTACGTGATCCTCCAGCCTTACGTCGCCGCCTTCTCTTATCTCGGGGATAGCGTCGTCTTGCGACAGTGAAGCCCCCGCCTTCACTGCCGTTCCTAGTTTCCCGGCGCCGTTGTCGTCGCTGCCACTGCTGCGCCGTTGGCTCCCGGATCACTGGTCACTGCTGGCACGGTCTGGTGCCGCTTCGCAGTCTCTTCATCGGCCAACCGCTTATGACACTCGCGCCACCAATGGCCTACCTCTCCGCAGTAGTTACACGCAGACTCTGCCTTCCTCTGCAAAATGAAGCGGGTATCTTGGGGCCCGTAGTTCTCCAGGCCTGTGCGACCGCCACGACCTCTTCCGCCTCCGAAGCCTCGACCGCCTCCGCCTCTTCCTCCGCCGTTGAAACTGCTGCCGCCGCCGGTGTTACCGTTGCGGTTCTGGCCTTGCCAGCGCGTGCCTGCCGCTGCGTCGTTCCCCGGCTGCTGATTGCCCGTTGCGGAGTTATTCTCGGCCTCGATGATCTTCCGCGCTTGTGCCGCCTTTAAGTTGCCGGACGTCGCCTTGGCACTGTCTTTCCCTAGCCCGGCGGAGACAAGCATCAGTGCTTGGAGGGCGGCCAATGAGAGTGGGTCCTTCTTAGCCGTTTTAGCCAATCCACTCACTGCCTCCCCATTCGTGTCAACACTCGGGGGCTCTTCGCCACCGAATCCCAAACCCAGCTGTCTCCAGTCGAGTTGCTCTGCCGCCTCATTCGTCGATTTCTTCTTTGGAGGAGAAGCGTCTCCCTCCTCGCCGTACTCTCGGTTCTCTCGATACCTGCGCTTCGCTACGCGCCAGTCGGTGACCTTGAACCCCTCGCCATACTCTCCGCACTTGTCCTCCGCGAACTGTACGGCTTCATCCAGCGTTTGAGGTTCGTAGGCCCGTACTTGTGTTGCTGTCGTCTCATTACTAATGCCGTTGATGAACGCCTCCACGTAGGACTCTGCTGGAATGCGCTTGCCGAACCCAATGTTAGTCAGGCTGGCCGCGTAGTCGCTCAGGCGCTCGCCGGGCTGCTGCACTCTCGCTGCGAGCCGCTGCTGGATGCGGAACATATTGTCCCGGCTTCCATACTTCTTCCGCATCTTCCTCACCAGGTAACTGAGGTTTCTATCTTCCGGCTGCATGTGTTCGGTCAGCGTGATTAACCATTTACTGGCTGCATCCTTCAGATGAGCAGTGGCTTCGTAATACAGCTCCTCGGCCGTCCACGAGTCACCGCCAAGGCCTGCTTGCCGTTCTACCTCCTGAGGTATCGTCGCTAGCCACGCTTCCACGGACTCGCTCGACTTGCCGCTGAAGTCTTCAATGTGCAGCCTTTTCATCTTGTGTCTGCGTGGCTGGTCGGAGGATGGTGGGGCCTGAATCACAATTGGTTGCTGCGTCGATGGTGCTGGTGCTGGGGCTGGTGGCTGCACCACGAATCGTTTCATCATTGCACGCTGCTGCCCCGGTGTCAACGCATCCCACCAGGCCATCGATTCCAGTTCGTCGTCTGCTGTCTGCGTCGGGTTCGCCGGTGATGCTCCTGTTCCTCGGGCGGTGTGGTCATTCGGGGACCTACCGTCACGTCCGCCGCCACCTCTATTGCTGTTGTTGCCATTGTCGGCGCCACCGTTTCCATCGCTTCGTTGTCCACCTGCTCGGCTGGCATCGTCCTCTGCATCGTCGTCGCTGCTGTCTCCACTTCCGTCATCACCAGCCGGCGCGATGGTAACACTGCTGCTCACCGCCACTTCATCGTTGCCGCCGTTCCCGTCACCCGTATTCAAGCGGATGCGAGTTCTAGGCTGGCGCGTCTTCCTCGGTGCTACTGGCGTAGTAGATGATCGTCGAGTCGTTGCACTGGTGGTCGTCGTGCTCGACGTCGGCGTGCTCGATCTCCTAGCTGCACGGGCTGCTCGCTTAGCCATTGTCGTCTGCTGCGTTGTCTTCCTCGTCCATTCAGCGTCTGCTTCTCTTCTCCTCTCTCTTCCTCTTCCTGCTCTCTCACTCGTCTCTCTCTCTCTCTCTTCTCCTCTCTTCCCCTTCTTCTCCCTCTTCCTCTTCCCCTTCCTCTTCCTCACTCACTCGTCTCTCTCTCTCTTCTTCCTCGTGGCGGGGTTCGTGCCACAGGGCCAAGCTTCAATAGAAGGCCCCTGTATGACCACCAAGTAAGCTTCTCGAAATATGAACTTCGGGTCGTAGCTCACTGCGCGCCTTAACCAGTTGAGTCAATGATCACCGTGGTCTGTCAGTTGAGGTGGTCGTCCACGTCACGTAGCTGCCAGTCCTGTCCCTGATCAGAAGACGGTGTCCGGTGGCCACAGAAACCGCTGCCCTAAAATACACCTACAGCTATCCTAGCACACGCACAGCAAACGGTAACTGAGTTCCTAGGCCGCGTGCACGTAAGGGAATCCGTCGAGAGCTATTGCCAGATCGCTCGCGCGTGATCCCGGGGGCTCTTAGTACCGGGGGCTAACTCCACTACCCTCCCTTTGGGGACACGTCACGACGTTGCGGGCTGCTGATACCGACGATCCTACGGGGCTACAATACCCGTCTCTCTAACACACTCTTGGGAAACCCTCACACTCAAGGACTAACACTGCGATGACACTGGCTAACTGGCTAACTGGTTGTTGTACTTGTCTTCTGCGCGAAACGTATCAGACCGATACGCTCGTGGCTCTCTCTGGGAAGCACTTGCCTGCTTCTCTGCTAATCTCGAACTGAGGCTATCCCTCTACTACCACATGCACTTGGTCTCCCGCTCCCTCATTCAAGCAACAGCGACTCCTCACGAAGATCGCCATTCGCCGCACACTTGCCTTGAGTATACCGGGTCGTCTGGATCTTCAACCGGTTGCTCCTTTAAGGTGGCAGCTGCTCGAAGGTGGATGTTGACTTATCCACTTCACTGTCTTGTCCTCCTGTCCGTTGATCTCCGTCGCTCCTCGCCTGCCGTCCATGTCTGGATAAGATGAGCCCCCAAGAGGATTTCATCCGCTAATATATCTTACCTGTTACGCACCAAGATTGCTTTTGCACAGGTAAACTGAATTGCACGAAGGAAACACCATCATAAACCATTCAAACACCATTCATACGATTACATCTGTGATGATCACCGTTGTCGGTGTTAATTGGACTCGAAGCTGGTGGCTTTCTCTATGGCTATGAATGGAATAGACAAGTTACGATGAAGATTGAAAAACAAAATTCCTTGTTTTGACAAGGGCGATGTTGTAGCATTTAGCGGAGATTTTTTTTCATGGTGGCGGCGAGTATAAGTCTCTCAATGTTCGTCTTCATTTTTTCTCGCACCTGCCCAAGCAAGCAGCCGGACATTGCGGAAGGAGAATAGCGTCGACCTGATACGAGTCATCCCAAACAAATTCCAGTAGACGTGAAAACGGCGAGGACTTGCTTCGTTCCTGGATGTGGTTTTGTGTATTGCGCTCCGGCAGCAGTGCGCAAGCATATGCGTACATCCAGCCGGGCAAGTATCCAGAAACCATTGAGCAGTCTCTTCGCAAGAAGAAGCGGTTCCCAAAGCCTGAGGCAACAGCGACGGTGAGTGAAGCGGACGATTTGACCTCGCATCACTACGGTGTTAGTAAATGATGCCGATGTAGGTTATCAAGTATACAGCCACTAATGCTTCGGCATCGAGCGCGATCTGGAGATCTCATTTTCCGTCGTACATGCCCGGTATAAATAGCACCAAAAAGTTCACGCGTTCGCGCTTCGTTTTGCCATCGTCCTGGTTCACCAGTTGCTCAAATATCTCATTCGCGGGGCGATGCCGGTACAGGCGGCAGCGGAATAGATCATGCCGGTGTCTTCCATGAACGCAAGCAACAACGACACCGACTAGGGCACCAGCTCGGGCGGTAACACGCACCAGCTCGGACGACCCGGGCAGCATCAACGGGGTACCAGAGGTTCTACGTCGCATGGTCACCACGGAAGCTACACCCATAACCTTGATTAGAGTCTCCGCTTGAACAAGTCAATAGTAAGGTTTCGAGGCGGGCATTACCTTCACTTTTCCTTCAGTCGCCTAAACGTGAAGATAATGCGAGTGCAAATTGCTAAGACATTTCAAAATATTAGAATCAAAATTCAGAGCATAAATATGCAAAATTGGCTGGCTAGAAGCTCGTTAAAAAATTCAAAGAAAAGTTCCAAGCCCAGTGTTAACAAGTGTGGCGGAAGTAGCTGCAGCGACGGGTACGGTCTACGCCGTGGGGGGAGAACGTTAAAGAATGCAGTTCACCCTAGTTGAAGCTCTTGAACTTCTGGTGTATTTGGCTGCGACTGGGGAGGGAGATACATGGCTCGCAATGCATGATGCTGGCCGCTTTGACAGCCCTGAACGACTTTTAATACCAGACGTGCGGTTCGATTTCGCTCCCTACGGCTATATCAGCTGTATAATAGATTTCCGCTTCGATGCTAATGGGATTAGGCTGCTTGTGCATCTATTTGCCCTACCAGTTTTCATCATAACAGAAGAAGGGGATAGATGCGTTAGTGAGGAGGCTCTATCCGTCATGCTATACCAACTTTCATACCCGCGGCGGTAGCACGACATCAGGAACCTGGGCGTCGGTAAGTTTGTGCGTGTAGCTATGCTGCTTACAAACTGTCTATGCTGCTACCAAGGTGGAAACCAGATTAGTAGCTTCTCCATTACCTTGCCAGCTTTTCAGAGTAGGGGTCCTCTGCGAGAGCTTGCTTGAGCAGCATCACGTCCTCAGCATCCGAGAGATTCTTGCGCTTCGGTATCTCCGCCATCAAAATTCTAACAGTGCGATGGTTAAGTCAGCCATACAGTACAGTGCTCGATGAGCGAATGATTGGTGTGAGGGTAGAGGTGCGAAATCCATACATTTGCGAGTTCTACCAGAATTTGACTGGGAGGGCTAGGTTTATTCGTGCTTTATACAAAAATATGAAGGTGAGGGAAGTGCAAACACGTTTCGAAACCTGTCTAATGTGGTATTCAATCCCTTAACGTCAAAATGTTTTACGGCTCAAGTTACTATTATGTGGGCCACTAGCATACGGAAAGTACATACCTACGATAATAACCGTGAATAACCGTTAAAATTCCGCTGTGTAAGATGACGCTCTGTGCGACACCTACAAAGTTTTCACTTTGGCCAAACTTCGAATTTGGTTCACCAAAGCTGCACAGAATCGTACCAAATCTGCATGTATCTCTTGTACGCGTTTGGTTGGTATAGCGTGCCTCGACGGGTTGCCGACAATATCGAAGTATAGAGGCTAATAAGGACAGTAAAACAACAACAACAACAACAGCAACAGCAACAGCAACAACAACAACAACAACAACAACGACAACAACAACAACAACAACACTTGCGAACAGTATTTTACATAGAGTTTGATTTTAAGTATTAAAGCAAAAATACATTTATATTTGGTAAGTTATTTGATTGGCTCTTGTTACGATCACCGACTGTTTTGCATAGCCGGGCGTTTTTCACCAACCGACTTACCAGCAAATCCCCAACTAGTTGGGTTTTGATTGGTGTTTGGTTGGTTACCCGTAATTTATTCTCTTAAGTACGTAATGTATCCGCATAAGTACGACCTATCTTGCGTAGGTACGATTAAAAATCTCTAAAACTGAGATCAATTGTAGTGAATGTATGCATGTCGCTGGAATGCTGTGCGTATGTGAGAAACACTTGATGAAATGGAGCTAGTCATCAATCTTGTCACCAAAGCGAATGTCCGATGGACACCTGAGGTTGAGTAGCTAACGCAACGTGGATAATGCATGAGCACAAAACGATATGTATTGACGTAGTTACTCTTCGCTCGTGGCTGCGTCTGGGCTTCGGCAAAATACCCCCTTGCTAGTCAAAAATAGACAATTAAATCGCAAGTACGCTATTTTCTCTCTGGTACTGCCATTCCTCGCACCATACACTCAAAAAACAACAACACCAGCGGCCCGCAGCTATTGGTATCCTCTTGTCGCGGAGCCCGCTGGCGGACTATTTTGAGATTCGCAGAGTGGTTTCCAAAGTAATCTTCGATGACTGTGCAGGTCTGGCTGTAGTATTTGTTCGTCTGCATAGGGTCGAACACCACAACTCTACTTTTGTCGTTGTCGAATACAACACCTGCTCAGTGTCCATCGAGATAAACCGGCACCAGAATCATTCGGCTGCTCGACCGGAGAGGTGAGCTTGCAATCACTTGCAACTTCATTGTTTTATCATGAACTCTTGCGTAGAGCGGGTTGACACCACCAATACAGCTCCTCTCTTGCTCGTCTTGATCTTGATCCATAAGGTGGCTCATGACATGTTCCATGCACGAATCGTCCAGCCACTCCGATTGTCTAAAGAATGCCATCTCTTCGATACCGACCTGTCCGAATCTTGTGTCCATAATAGTCTTTAAATTTACGGTCTCCAATCTTTTTGCGCAGGCTTGTAAATCTACCGTGACGCAGTTGTTGAGAGGGCTGGGAAGTGTAATTCGGGCAAAGCGAGAAACTCTGATCCACGCTGCTAAATCACTAAAAGCATCGAACTTCGGGGATTCGTCATGCCAATCTCTCATCGTGATCAAATCTTTCTCCGTGAATGTGCCAAGTTTCTTGATAGGTACCCCCATTCTGCCAGCTTCGTGGTCACTTGGAAGGGACGTCCGATAGATGATGTACCTGCGATGCACTTGCTAACGTAGTTCTTTGGAAAAAAAATAATGACCTTCTTGTGGACCTTCTGCTTTCGAGCAAGCTGCACGATGGAGGTGGCCTTCCAAGTTGGTGCATCAACTTTGGTGATACTGTGACGGCCAGGCACAGCATCTTCAACGTTGAAACTGCATGTCAATGTCTTATGCACAAGTGCTAGATCCTTCTCTGGAACTAACGTCCCTTGAACAAGAGCTTTTGCTTCTGCAATAGATTCACCCATTCGGAGTTTCTTCGCCTCACGAGCTTGTTTCCGCCTAATTTTTGGCCGTCCTTTGCCTTTCACACCAGTGCTAACTCGAAACTGTCCTGTGATATCTTCATTGCTGGAGCTGTCACAAGGGCTACTGTCGCCCCTTTCCTTCGACCGTCGTTTACGAAGTATCAGTCGACAAGTGGCTTCAGTAGACTCATCAACAATACCTCCTTCAACATTCACAGACTGGTTGGTGTCTTTCACCGACTGTGACAACTCAAACGCAGCAGCCTTGTCGATTATGTTGCTTGGCTTCTGGACCGCAGGTTTAGGCTGGCTCCCGGATTGAAGAAGCTCGACCAATTCCGTATCGTCGTTGTCGCTATCAGAAGAAACCATATCTTGCGCTCGGGTAAGTATTCGGTTCGTTTCAGCTAGTAGTCCATCGCTTTTATCTAGTAGCTGCCTACTTTCATCATTGAAATCATCCCCGGGCGGTATTGTTTTGCGCAGTATCGGTCGCCTCGTGTGTTGCTGGTACAGATGAACCGCCGCTATCTGCAGCTTCGGTGTCGTGCCGCGTATAAGAATCTTCACAGTGTGCTCTAAGTAGGCTCTCGACAGAAGCTTGAGGCTTCGTCAGAGTCGGCACCACTCATTCACGTACGCACACTCCAAACTCGCGAAACACTTCAGCCATCCGAAGGAATGTTCATGTGCCTTGAGAACGCATTGCCTCCACGATGGTACCGGCAATGTCCATGGCAGTTTTCCACTTTGTCGCTCCATTTAACACAGTGTGCTCGACGGATCGCATGTGTGACCTCTGGACTCGTAGTGAACAGCAGGAAACTTCTTCACCAGACTCGTCCTCCTATGTAAGGTTGGCTTCTGCTTGTAGTAACCATCGTGAATAGACGTAGCTCAAAGGGATTACTTTCTTCTTTTGCATTGAAGCACGTACATGCATCGTATGATGACAGGGAAGCAGTAGAGTACGCATAAAAAACAAGAGCATGTAAACGTCTGTGCATAAACAACAAGGTGTCAATAATTGGACCGACAATAGCCAAACCATTTTAACCTCAACTTACCGAAACATTAACCGTGTACTCGCGTCCTGTCCTGTGGCTTTCCATCCTGACGATGTTGTCTTGTAGCCAACCACCCTCGTAGGACAAAGCCCCGCTCTTGAAAAGGTCATACTCTTGACGGACGAGCTTGAACGCGTGTGGACTTGCCAAGCCTGCTAAGCGAAGTAACATTCATCCGCTCCATGGTAGTGACGAGACCCAATCACATTAAACCGAGACGCATACTCCATCTCCGCCGTCGACTGCAAGAAAATCAGCATTTCAACGCACTCGTCAAGCTCCATTTCGGGTTTTAGAATTTCCTTTAGTGATCCCCACGCAGATTCAAGACTATAACATCCAAAGCATTAGGTTTTGTCGATAAAAAACAATGTAAACGTACATACCGGTTGTAAGTATGGCTGCCAAGATGCGCAACGTGGCCTCGTTCGTACACAGTCCACATCTTCTTACAAGAATACCAATTCCGCATGAAATTTTCAAGTAGAGGATGCTTCGGCCTTGGTAGGTCGCTCTGCTCATCAAAACCATCCGGAATGTAGTACATATAACGAAGGTCTCGGTCGTACTTGTCCTTTGCTTTGATCATCATATCCACAGCATCCTCCACTCGATCCACGTCCACCGCGTTACGCCCACCGTACACTTTCTTTGCCATATCTGTGCGCAGGTATTTTTTAGATGGAAGTGGCAGATCAAGACTCGAGCCAATGGAAACTCCTTCTGCAAAAGACTCAGCTCGCCAAGTCCTTGTCAATCATGAACACTCGAATACGATCCCAGGTCGGATTTTTACCTTTAAAAGCTTCAATGGCATCCTTCATGCAAGCGTGACTTTCATTTTT